CTGTTCAGTCTCGATCACTTGATGTGGCCAAGCGAGCTGCATTGGTGTAGCGTTGAAACTCCCATCCATTAAAGAACCGTTCTGCGACGAGCCAAAACCGGAAAAGAAATCAGCTCAGGGATCATTCATAGAGATCTTGATCTAGTCAAAGAAGTCAAAATGTTGTTGATGTGTTATTATTATCCTAAAAAGAACCAAGGTTTAATGAGAATGGACCCTGGCTATTTAATGGTATGTACAAAGCTGTAAGGAAGAAAGAGAGAGCATTTATTTACTCTGTTCCAAAAGATTTTTCATGAGAAAAGTTTAAGAGATTAGATAGGTGAAAATGAAAGAACTTTGAAACAACAAGATGTTGAAAGAGACCCACATAAATTATTGAGGGATAAATCAAATTTTTTTTTGAAAAAAATGTTCATAGAATCTCATCAATTACATATCCGACATAAGTCACAGAAGATGCAGAAAGGTTTTACAGAACAAAGGTGGTCCGAGTTTTTGACCCACTAAGCTCTTTGTGTACTGTGGTCTGCACGGTGTGTGTTGTGTATTTATTTTCCCTGAGTTACCTTCATAAGACTAGATGTTGATCTTCCTACGCCTTACTCTAAAATGGTCTAAATTAATGTTTGTATCAATAAATACCCAAAAGCTTCTCTTTTCGTGATACAAACTTAAAGCTACTAAAAGAAGGTATAGAGTTTCCTATGGTTAACTTAAATGAGTATTAGAAGGACTTAAGGACTTACTTCGGAAGCTAATATGTTGTTGAGATTGAAGTCGATTCTCGGGTTTACCGCAGCAAGTCTCATTGATAGCATCTGTGGAAACACAAAAGTCACAGTTTCATGAGATTGTGGCACGCAATTTATATTCATTTTTTCCATCTGTTTTTAGTTGACCTTTTGGATGTGCCTTTTAAGGCTATTTGTACAATATAGGTATAAGTAACAAAAGATTGGACCACGGAAAGTCTCACCTCCACTTGACGTTGTAAAGACTGGACATGGTTAATTATTTCATCCAGCACCAACGCGGTACCTTGAATCTGCAGATCAAAGACTTTCTGGTAAGCTTAGGATTCAAATCAGGTAACATCTGCTTTTATACACCAACAACAAGAGTTCCTTAGCAACAAGACATTTCAAAGAGAATACACCAAGATTCCAATATACACAGTGAAAGAAACAGAAAAGAGAATGACCCTTTAATCTAAAGCTAGACATAAATGGCATCTACAATCACAGATTCTCAATGACACTTTATCAAGGTTTAAAAAGTAATCAGTGTACTCTTAGTGGTTCATGGAACAATCAATCAAATCCTCACAGCTCACCAAATTTGTTTTACAAACACTCATCTTTCAAATCATCTCACCAATAATTGCTGCTAACTTCTAACATCAAAAGATGATTAAATTAGTTGTCTAGGAGTGTCACATCATGTTTCCAACTAATTAGGTATGTGGGACTCAAAGCCAATATCACTTCCTGTAAAAAAGGATACTTTGCTTTCTAATCGTCCTTCTAAGAGTGTCATTGTCTTTTTTTTCCTTGATAGATACCGAACTTGTTAGAGACGATACTACCCTCTTCCTCACCTTGCTTAGAAAGTTTGCAACTTTTTTCCCACTTATCATCATCAAAAAGATGGACCCCAAAACCACACTTTGATCTTGATCTTTCCACCAAAATCTGTCCCCTAAACCCAAAACCTTAATGGCACATTACAGCTAGCATCCCCACTTCCTAAAGTCATTATCGCCAGTTATAGACTAATCCCTCAAGCTCAACAATGAAAACACACTTTGAGAAGAGGAAAAAAGAATTCGAGATAAAAAGCTTTGTCCAATCACTTCCGTGTGACTAAGTTAACCTTAAAGCTAAGTGTACCCGTGAGAAGATATATCTCTCCCCACAATAAAGCTAAGATCTTTAAAGCATTACACACCAGAAACCACCTTTCTTCATTAAAAAAGCAATTAAGCAAAAATTCACCTTTTTGTTAAGGATTAAGACACTTAACAAAAACAAAATCAGCAAAATTATACTATATTCCTACTTTTTGACTAGTGAATCAATTAAAGAAATATTTCTGTCGTCGTTAAGCACAAATGAAGACCTAATGA